CAGTCGGCAATGAAAGAGATGAATATTTGTATCCTTCCCGCGACTGTGCCTTGTATGAACCCACATCCGAGTGAATTACCTGTCCTGGTCTCTTGGATTGGTATGCGGAGCAAGTTTTGAAAGGTGTTTGGTGAAGTTTTGATTGTAGACAGATTGGGCATCGCTGAACATCAATTCCGTTGTTTATGGTGGGTGTAATGCCATGAATCTTCAGGAGTTTCTTCAGGGGTTTGATTGCTATATGAGAGAAGCACCAGTGATAGCCCATTAGGCTGGGGTCAACTGTAGCCTATCCAACAGAAGGAAGGGGTGAACGATAGAAAGATCACATGGGCTTATACAGAATTTCCTGAAAGGGAAATCTTGTCAATTTTAGGGAAATTCTGTAAACATTGAAAAAAATCTGGATCTTTGGGATTTTCTGAATTTTTAGATTTTAGATTTTTCAGATTTTCAAATTTGTAGATGCTCTAAATATTCTATATTTTTCAGATTTTTCAGATTTTCTGGATTTTTTAGAAATTTTGGAATTTTTTAGAATTTTTAGAATTTTTAGAATTTTTTAGATTTTTTAGATTTTTTTAGATTTTTTGGCATTAGAGTTTTTAGATTAAAAGGTGGGCCTTAATAAAAAAACACGGTTTTTCCGCGTTTACACGCGGTTTTGCTGCGGCACAGCGCACGCGGTTTCCGTGTTTAAACACGGTTTTGTAATTAATTTTTTACCGCTTATTTTTTGAGTTTTTTTGAATTTTTAACATTGTTTCCTGGGTTTCCAAGCGAGTAGAATTTAATGGTAAAAACCATTTTCCACAAAAATGAATTTTAATTATTAATTATTCATTTTCACTCATTTCTCAATTAATTGTTTGCAAACATGTTTGTACCCTATTTTTTATGTTTTTTTGAAATTTTGCAGTTGTTTCCTACATTATAAAGTGTTTATAATTTTATGGTGAATTCCAATTTTTATAAAAATGAATGGTTCATTTTTAATACTGAAATTAGACACATTTTTTCACTTAAATTTCTACAGGTTAATTTTCATTCTTTTTTGACATTTCAAATTTTCTTCCTACACTTTAAAACATTCAAAAATTATAGTATCAACCATTTTTCCCCAAAATGAAAACTATACCTTGAATGCTGCATTTGACATCTACATATAACTAAAAAAACAGCCTCAGAGGGCCAAACAAACCGTCAGGCTTGAATAGTGCTTTCTATTGATTTCTCATGCGGCTTCTAACGCCGGCGTCGATATTTCTCATTTCAATTTCTTTTCTGACATTCGCTAAGACTTAACACTTGCTAGCGACATTCCCTTACACCTTCAGCCTTCCAATCGATAGCGACATTCCCTTACACCTCCAAAAGCGACTCCAAAATCGACCTTACACCTCCAAAAGCGACTCCAAAAGCGACACCAAACCATCACTATGCAACTCTCTGTCCACATCGTTATGCAACTCGCTGTCCAAGCGACAAGCAACATCAACAACACCTTCGCTTCCTGCTCATCAGACATCAACAACACCTTCGCTTCCTGCTCATCACTTTGAAAACCGTCACATATGCTGTTGTTATGAATACACATTTTGCTGATGTTTCTAATCAATTTTGTTGTTATTTTGTTGTTATGTATATAAACTGGTTGCTTCCATCAATTAATCATGTTGCTCCCTGCAATTAATAAAGCTACTGTGACCATCTGAACATCAATTATGTTGCCATCTGGACATGGACATCAATTATGTTGCTTTAGTTACCTTTTATCAATGTTGTTACCATTTATTCATGTTGTTGCCATTGTATTATTTTGCTTGAAACAGCATGCAACCATCTGAACTCCTCAATCTACTACGTACACTTTTGCCAAACATAAATAGGGCATCTTTTGTCAAATAATTTGCTAAAATTTTCAAATATCCATCTTCCGTCCTGTAAAACAATACTTTTTACCGTGCTTCCATCCATCAGAATATCAATCCAATAATCCTTTCTTATCTTCTCAAGTTCCACTGAATCAGTACTCTGCAATGAACCAGAATGTTGATGATCTCAGGAGTGCATTTAACAGGGAAAGAAATGCTAGATTCCATCAAAGGCAAAGACATGCCCGGCTCAATGTTACCACAACACCAAACCCCAATCACTTCCATTATCCATCCACTCCTCTACCATCATCATATTTCAACTACCCTCACGTTCCACCAACTCATCTCCATCATCATCAAACCACCACAATGGGGTTAGATTCACTCAGGGGGGGCACATCCATTCAACCTCAATATCATCAGATGCAACATGGACAAGCCTCTCATCTTCACCATCTGTACAATGAACCAGAAAACTACAACAATGCTCTCTACCAAGGAGATTCACCATCCAGATATCATCAAGAATCACACAACAACCCACAACATTTCACACCATTTCACAACAACTCACACATCAATCATTGCAGAACCTCTTATGGCAACACACTGGCCCAATATCAATCAACATCCCGTGAAACCGCGGATCCCAGACATCAGCCACAAACCCATGATAGATTGCTTGCAAACTATCATTCACCAACTCATCTCAACTCACATTCTAGACATCATCCAGACCCCCACGACGGCTCACTTTACTCACTGTCAAGGCATCACCAACAATCCCATGTCAACTCACAACATTGGGACAACTCACGGAGGCATTCTATGTCTCAGGTGACTGAAAGGATGTCTCAGAACACCATAAATGTGGCCCATACCACTCGCAACAATATTATTCCACTTGATCAACAAAATAATACCTCCAGAGTTTCAATTTTCAACTTGGTCAATTCCCAAAATCTTTCACCCCACAATGCGGTCAATATTTACTCCAATTATCAAAATTCATCAAACCTTCCTCCCTGAGAGCAACCAAGAATCTTGGATGATCTTCTTGAAATTAATTTGGACCTTATTGAAAATCATGTTCATCACCGTTTATCTCAAGTTGGATTTGAAAATCCTGCTGGTGCTCTTTTGAATGATGAACCTGGAATTGATTTGAATCAAAATGGACAGTTTGCACAAAACAATATTGCTGGGCAAAATCCCCGCAGAAATTTCAACAGGCCACTTGCATGGGGTTGGAGAGAACCTCCAGGTTTCAGACCTTACACTTTGAGAAGAGAGAGGTGTTGTCAAATATGTCATGCCATACTTTTCCAAGGCGAGACAAATTCCCTCTGCTGCCGCTCTGGTAGGATCAACATACATCAACCACCCCCTCCTCCAGATTTACTCCAGATGTTCAAAGATGCAACTCGAGACCACTCAGCTCAAGGAAATCAACTGATAAGATCAATCCGTTTGATAAATAGCAACTTTGCATTTACTTCTCTTGGTATAAATTCTGCCACCAGAGCTGCTTTGGACAACCAAGGGCAAGGTATATACACTTTCAAGGTCAAGGGGACAATTCACCATAACATTGGAAGTTTGATCCCAATGTCACAAGAAGTTCCCAAATTCTTGCAGCTCTACATATACGATAATGAAAACGAGTTTGAAAATCGTCAACGTCACGGGAGGGATCTGATCCCAGAACTCATGGCAAGAATCCAAGAAATACTTCACCACTCTAATCCTCTGATACGCCAGTTTGAACGGGTTGCCTCTGAGATCAGTCCAAACCGCTCCATAAGGCTCACAAATAATGCATCAAATGTGGACCAAAGGGTTTACAACCTTCCCACAGGTGACCAAATTGCAGCCATATGGGTAGAAGGTATTTGATTTACTTGGATTTTTTGCATTTTGTTTTAATAATTCTGACATTTACCTCCTTCAAGGTAACGACCCATCAACAACTGACACAAGGGATGTCATCATCAAGTATCGTCATCAGAACCTCTCAAGAATATCTGAATTGGACAGAAAATATGATCCACTCCATTATGTTCTGTTGAATCCAAATGGAGAACTTGGCTGGAGTCCTGAACTCAAGCAAGAAATGCCCAATGCAACTTCCATGAACTATTATGCTTATCGGTTGGCCTTCCGCAATGAAGACTATTCTCTTTTACATTGGTCTGGCCGACTCTTCCAACAATACTGTGTGGACCAATATGTGAAGATAGAAACTGAGAGGTTGCTGTATATTAGGCTCAACCAATCAGATTTCCGTGTGGACCAATTTTATGGTGTTGTAGACGCTTATCAAAAT